AGGGGGAGGCTGCACTTGATGAAAAAGATACTCAGCAAATTTGAAACTAGAAGATCCAATTACTTCACACTAAATTGAAAAAAAAAAAAAGAAGAAGAAGAAGAAGACTAGCAGAACAAAACCAACCAAAAGCAAAAGATAAAGGACATCACCTTCAAGGTAAGGCAAACAGTAATGAGAAGGGGTAAGCTGAAACCCTGCGAGTTGTTGATAACCTCATTGAGTGCTCACTGGCCTCCTTGTCATTGACAGGAACAGTAGAGCCCTTGACTGTTGAGATGAATTCGAAGACGGTGTGACAACACTTTCACTTTGAGGGGTTTGCAAGGGCTGCTTGTCTTGCCCAGAAATCTGTTAGTCAAAAATCATGTCAATAAGAATAAAGACCTTTGGAATCAGATCACCACAGGTCATACGGCAAAATTTAACATGCAGAAATCAAAAGAAGAGATATATAACAGTTACAAAAAAGCCAGCAAAACTCTGCAAATGACTGCCGTTGCTACTTTGTTAATTACCAGGTACCATCAGACCCCATAAGCAAAATTTTACATGATACCATAGCAGTTATAAAAGAACTAACGAAACTCTAACAAAGTATATGTAATAAATTCAAAACTCTGCAATCTCTTAATTAGCTCATCGCATGTATGTGACTTAGTGAGCAAAATGTGAACTCACCCCAAATTTCAATGTTCTATTATACAGAGTGACGAGGCCAGAAAATAGCTTCACAGCATAATTTGCGACCTCTTCAGTTTCATATTCTGCAAACGGAAATCCTTTGGGGTTGCCTGTTTCCCGGTCACGAGGAATATGCAAATACAAAATCCTCCCATCTTGAATTAGAATATCGTACAGAACCTTATCGGTTGCCCTCTCGTGGACTGGGAAGTAGCTAAAATTGAAATAGAAGAAAATAAAATAAGACTATAAAATCCTGACAAATTAAACGGAGTAAAAAATATATATTATTCAAACTTTAATGAAATTTTAAACAATATAACTCATAACATCATGTTATTAGTCTAAAATTTTAGCACATAAAACATGTTCATTTTATTATGATTCATTTCTTCATTGAAAATTTCTCAAATTTACTTTTATAATTGACAAAAAAAAATCTATTACTACAAACCAAACATGTCCCAATTGTAATTTTGTAGTCGTCTTATTCAATTCAGCTTTCAATGGTTTTCCGCAAAAGAAAACGGGAAAAAGAATGCTCCACTTCAGATTCAATCTCTCATTCAATTACACAGTAAGAAGAAATTTA